CGGTCAACCCGACTTGCAGCAGAGTTTGGAGCACTTGATCAATCATGTGGCCACTGCGGCCGCGCTTGGACAGGGCCGGGTCCGGGTGGCACAGCTTGGCACACGTCACCACCGCTACGCACATGCCATCATGGTCCACAATGAAGCACGTTTACGGTGGCTGCACGACACCGATCGCGTCGTCGATACCTTGCTTTCGAATCGCGACGTCGGGGTACGTGAGAAACACCGCAACGTTGTCCTGGACAAACGGGAGGATCGAAAACGGGCCGCAAAAGTCAAACTGGCCCAGCGTTTTCAAACTCAACAGCAACATCGCGTCGCTCATGTGGGCGCCAGTCGTGTCCTTGTCGTCGAGTTTCTACGGGTCGTGCAGTCAAGGTCGCGTCCATCGTCGCAGGCCTCGTACCTCGGATCGAAATGGCAGCGAAAACGTTGAAAACCCACCGCCTCGGCGTACGTCGTCCGCGGCTGGTGCTGCCGGACCTACATGCATCGAACGTCATGTCGCGGCATTTTGACATGGCAGCGCGTGAAATCGGTCATCCATGCCGACGACGCGTCCACAGCGCGCAACCACACGATTCGCATCGACCAAGAAGCGACGCCCCACAATTCTGCACACACGGACAGACCAACACACGGCACCACAAAGCCCGCTCCTGCCCTCGACCAGGCAACGTGCCATGCGCGCCACACCGTCGACCGAGTTGCCCATTTGCGACAACACTCACGCCCTGCCACATGCACCACCATCGTCTGGTCCACGTACGTCGCAGGACGAGGGATATTTCGTGGAGAAGCCGTTCTTGGACCCACGTTTTGACGGCAGGCACGGTTTGAATGATTTCCGTGAGCGCTTCGACCAACGCATCGTTCAGCCCGCCTACCACCACCACCAGCGCATGAGCCGATCGGTTGGATGTGGGGACGGCACCGGCCAGCATTTGCTCCAACAGCGACGGCAAGTACGGCTCCATCGCGACCGTGCATGCCTTGGTAAAGTGTGCGGCACACACAAGCGTTTCGATGCAATAGTACTTGGATTTTTTCATCCCGTCTTGGAGGAGCTCGATGATCGACGGCAGCTGGGGAACCAACTGGTCTACACATTTTCGAATTGCAGGCGACAGCGCGTGGGATGATGGGGTTTGATTCTACCTCCCACCGCAAGCGCCAATTCCCCCAGCGCCAGGAACGCGATCCCGCGCTCGCTCACAGACAGAAATGTCGTCACGCGCTTCATCAAGTGGGCCACGCAAATGCTCAAGTAGTGGCGCACAAAGGCATCTGCATCACACACGACGATGAGTTTGGTCCACCGACTCGAAAGATCGCAATCGTCGATGCCGCCACTTCCATTCGATTCAAACAAATTCCATGCCCAAACACGGTCTTCCGACGACTGGCGGAAGCTCCGTGCATTCGTGTCGGTGCACACAAAAAAACCATGGCTGCATGGGAGAGCGCGCTCCGCCCATCGCATCCACAGCTCGCATCGCATTCGAGCGATCGCGCGATCCCAACAAGAATTCGCCCACGGTGGACTCTACAGCGCCGCCGTGCGCTTCTTGCCCATGGTGTTCAACATGAAAAAACAACGACACCAACCCTGACGTGGTCAGTTCAAGACACTGTCACACGAACAGCACACACCATGCCATGCGTTCACCAACAAGAGGTGCTCGCAAGTGCGATCGCAGCGAGCCCACTGGGATGCGCTACTGACGGCACTCGGCGACGTACCTGGGCAGTAGGCAGCGAGTTGGGGAAGCAGGAGGCACACCGATCGCGCCACGAGCTTGTCTTTCGCGTCCTTGTAACACAGCACAATGTCGCACACCTACCAAGCCGATGACACACCAACCGCGCGATCGCTCCACCTACTTCTCGGAAGCGAGGGACCATGAAGCTGCCCGTGTTTTGAACCAATTGCCCAATGACCAAGAGCGACCCGTGGATGCTTTCCCACGAAGGCGACTTGGCTACGACCACCGACGGCGCGCCTACAAACACGGCAGACTCAATTCACAGCGACCCGCCGCGCATCCTGCGCCCATGTTCTCGCTCTCTCACACACGTATATTGCTCGACCGATCGACGAGGCCATACCTTTCACGACATGTAATCCGTCTTGCACTTGGTCGTAGATTTTGCAGTACCATTGCACACGATGCCTCGTTTGGCGCATCGCGATGAGCTGGAGACATGCTGCCAACGCATCCTACAACCGCCGCCGCGTCATCGAGAGAGATGGCAGGACCACGTCGATGCCACACACAGCCACCATCAGCACACGGTGCAGCAGACTGAACGCAGAGGCATCGCAGGTCCATGACGGGGATCGCACAGCTCGGTGCGTTCCATGGCCGTCAAAGTACACACAATGCAAACGGGATTCGAACCAAACGTGCCCGATCGGGTGGGCAGAAGGCGGCGCGGCTGTGCCGTGGCCATCCGAGCCATTCGACCACGTTGCATGGAAGCACGCTGTTTGGAAAGTGCAGGCAAAAACAAATCTCATCTGAAACATCGACCAAAATGCAGAAACCACGATGCAAGTGCGGTGTCCAGAGGTGCGCCACGTCATGTGTCGAGGACTGTACCGTGGCAGCATCGCGGACGTCGACGCGGGGATCGCGGATGGCAGGCCAAATCGCGACAAAGAACGTTGTGAGGTTCACGTGAAAGAGCGTCGGAACGGCAGACGCGAGCGCTTGCAGGACCATGCATGCGGCCAAACGTCGGTGGTTAGCTTGGAAGCACGGGTTCGTCAGCCACTCGAACGCGCGCTTGACTTCAAAGTCAACGAACGCAGCGACCAAAGTGCCACTGATGCCGTTCTCGGTGGACGACGCCAGCCGCCCTAGGGTCCAACTGGCTGCACGCAACCCGGCCTTGGATTCACACGTGACGAAGAAGCTGCGCAGGTAGTTGGCAAATCGGATGATCTGCGCTTCGCTGGCCACAGGGATGAGTGCATCGACGGCGGATATCCCTCCCAGCTGGTCCACCAAGTTTGAGCTTTGGAGCAAACTTTGCAGCCGCGGCGTCAAGTCGGACAAAAACCGAGCAAACGTCTCCGACGTGAGCTCGCGCGCAAGCGTCGCCACGGACGTATGCAAGTCCTCGGCAGCGAGTTCCCGCACATGGGCGTCTCGGGACTGCAGGCGATTCAAGATCACCGTGATCCCATCGACATCGCGCTCTTTGAGCTGATGCTTGAGCATTGTGCTTGATCGCGCCGCTGGGAACGTGACCACGTCCGGTTCTCCAGACGTCCATTCCGGATACAAACGCAACTATCCGGATACTTCAATTCAAATTGAAGCAAGTTAGTTGCCATGGCGGCATCTCGACGTGGGCGACGCGTTGGGGCTGCCGCGCGGCCGAGAGAGCATGGTTAGAGCGAGGGATTGCCGGCACGGCGTGCACGTCCAGCTCATTGTCATGGTGGCAGAAGCGCTATGCATCGCGGCGTCTTCGTGCACTTTGTTTCGTATCACCGATTCAGAATGCGTGCAGTCGGCCAGCACAAGTAGTAGGCGAAAGGGGTTCCCGGATGCGTTATTCTGCCTGGCTCTTCGAAGGCCCATGGCCAGAATGGTGAATGGTGTCCATCCCGACAGTCGCTCGAACGAACGGAGTCTCGGTTGTGCCGCCATCCTCCGATACACTTAACAGCGACCACAAACTACGTCAAGCCCAGATATGCATTCCAAGTAGACAAGCACCGTGGCGAGAAAAACGGGCCGACGCCACAGCTCCCGTCGAACCATGCCAAGGCGAACGAGAATCGTCCACAGGATCCACAGCAATCGAGGCCGTCAATACGATGGATGCGTGCGGTCCCGTTGTTTTGCGATGGGCTGCATAGCCTCGCTGTTGTCAAGCGCGACCAAATCCGCCAACGGAAACGACTGCCCGGGGGGCACGGGATCTGTGCAGGTCCACACGTGGCCGCATCAAACGGCAGGGTTGTTTGTCGGGGACACGGTGGAATACGTGACCATCTTGGGCGCGCTGGGGTCGTTGAGACTGTAAACTAAGTTACGCCACTCCACGACATCATATACAGCCCACAAGTATCGAGCTTTCGTCCACAAAAACGACCCGCCGGGTGCTCATGGCGCCTTGTGTTGTGGCAAGCGATTCGCTGAACGCGAGTCCTTCCGTTCTACGGACACCTCTTGCGCGTTCGGACGAGGTCTGTAAAGCACGGCCATCTCGACCGACGGTGGAAGGGTTGGCCTCTTGTTGTCGCTTGCCATGGAGCGACCAGGACACCCCCCGATCGCATTGTTGGGGCCGACACTGTTCTGGTGCGTCGAGATCGAACCGTTAGACGTACGACAGAGAACGTCGCAACGGGAAACAGAATCCATGGCAGTGCATGCTCGCGCACACAATGCGTTGGGGCTCGATGGAATCATTGGACAAAGCGGTCGAAGCCATTCACTCCGCCATGACGAAGACGCGCGGCCGCGCCACGGAAACGATGGACAAGACCAGTGGCAACATGACCAAGTGGATGGAGATGGAGGCCCGTATCGAAGAGAATGTCAAGGCTGCCGACAACATAGTGACGCTGGATGTGGGCGGTACGATCTTCAAGACGTCGAAAGACACGCTGTTGAGTGTAGAGGGCAGCTATTTTCACGCGCTGCTCGGGTCTGGTCTGTGGGAACCGACCAGCACAGGTTCCTACTTTCTCGACCTGGACCCACACCTCTTTCGCCGTGTTTTTGTGTATTTGCGCACGGGCAAGCTATCGTGGAATCGCTTGTCGTACGTCGAGCTCAAAGAACTGAACGCGATGATGGACTACTTGAAGCTGAGCGACAGGGGCGCCCCCACGCACCCCCTTCGATGGAATGCTGATGTCCGCGCACCGGGCATTGCCGTGTCGACAGATCTGCGAACAATTGAGCGTTTGGCGTCGCAAGTTGAAGGTTGGTGCATTGCCGATCGAGAGCTCACGGATTGCTTGCGCCTTCGCGTGGATGCTGCGCCCGGCCTAGTTGCCATCGCCCTGGGCTCGACGGCGCATGTTGATATGCGGACATGGTCCCCGACAAGCCAAAGCATGTGCTGCTTCTTGACAAGCGGTGAATTTTACGTCCGCGGCGTCGCGATCCCGACGACACTGTCCAAAGTCCTTGCCAGCGCCATCGTGACCGTGCGTCGCGGTCTGTCCCATGTTGAGTTTGCCGTGAACAACGGTCAGCCGTTCAATGTGGCCCTGGACGATCCGTTTGAGGATTTGTGTCCAATGGTCACGTTGAAAAATGCGGGATGCGTTTTGACAATTCTCGATTAGGTAGGCGTACCATGGCCCGAAATTGCTGCAGTTGCTGAGGCTCTCGAGTAGGGACGCGCCTGGACATGGCTGCTGGCGGGCGCATTGCCGCCGTGAAAATCAATCCCCTGAGTACCTCGTGTAGAGTTCTTTAGGATGCGGTGGCCAACACTCGGCCCTCTGGGCTGT